CATTCCTGCATCTGTCTCACCAAGAGAGCTTGTCACGTGTGTTGGGAACACACTTGAGAGTATGCGTGTGTGTTTGCATGCCCCTAGCAGTTCTGAGACACAGACATCCTAGAATAAGCAGTGCTTAGGACATTGTCCTTGGACATCAGGGATCATATGCCAAGTGTTGGCTATGGGAGGGTTGAACCCCTGTCTCCTACCTCCCAGATCAAGGCTGTACTCATCAGGGTGTTGCCTATTCCAGGACGTGCCTCTCACAATTACTCCTGCTATTTTGCTTTGTATAATGACACCCTGAACTTCTTGCAGGGGGCCTGCAAAGAGGATGGAGCTGGGCTATTCTCAGTGGGGGCAGATGACAGGACAAGGAGCAATGGGCTCAAGCTGCAGCAAGGGATGTTTAGGCTGGATATTAGGAAAAAAGACTTTCTCACTAGGAGGGTGGTGAAGCACTGGAATGAGTTACCTAGAGAGGTTGTGGACTCTCCATCCTTTTTAAGGCCCGGGTAGACAAAGCCCTGGCTGGGATGATGTAGTTGGGGCTGGTCCTGCTTGGAGCAGGGGGTTGGACTAGATGTGACCTCCTGAGCTCCCTTCAACCCTCATTTTCTATGATTTTATACATATTTATTGAGTCTATAGCCCCAGGTGCCAGGCTGATGCCATTTGTGGAACATGTAGATTCAAGTCCCCCCTCCAGGAAAAATTAAGTTATACAGCATGGATTTGCTCCAACAGTTGAGTGTCCTGGGATGGGGACTTTGGGCTTATCTTGGACTGATTTGAACCCACATGCTCCACACTCCAGGTGAAGTCTCTAACCACGAATCGCTAGCATATTTTCAAAGTAGGCTGCTTCCTGGCTCTTAACGGGGCACCGTAAGTGGGTTTGTAGCTCAGGAACCTAAATAAAGGTAGGTGCCTCTCTCTGGCCGGTCAGCTCTCAGGTACCTAAAGAGCAGCCCAGTTCCTTCTCCATGCCATCCCTGGATGATATAACAGCTCAGGGCCCAGCTGGCTTCCGAGATGAGGTGCAGGGAACATGGGCATCTAACCCAGGGTTCAGGGAAATCAGGGATTAGGCATTGCAATGCATGAATACCACTGAGGATCTGGGTCTAATACCGGTATGCTGCAGTGACAGATGTAATGAGTATTAATCTGCAGCTAGAAACAGATAGATACAGACAGATAGCCTTGGGCCTTCCATTTATTTCCTAATGTTGGATTAAAAAATAGTCTCCCAAGAGCTAGCTGAGATGAATCACTGAAAAACATTACAGCATGCTGGCAAGCGGACAGCTGAAGAAGGGATGCAAAGGTGCGTCTAGAAGTTGCAGTGAAACTCAGCAACCTCTGAATGCCTTTATCAGCATGGAGCCTGCTCCCACCTCAAGGCAGATGAGATATAATACTATTGAAGGAAGAAACGGCTCTGTCGCCAGTCATTGGCAATTGCTCTGTGTAAGATGTCTCTCTAGGATCGAACAGGTTTTTATGAAGAGCTCGGGCCCTGTCCCTCTTGAGTAGCTCCCAGTTGAGAGAGCAGCAGCAGTAAGAGGTCTGTTTATAAAATCGTCCACATATTTGAAGCCTGGATGCCAGTGAGGTCAAATGGAGTGGGGGGTGAGAGCAGGGAGAGGCAAGTTTTTGGGATGGTTTAAAAAAAAGGGAGGGCTAGAGGTGAGAAGTCCCATTTCTCTTTCAACCGTCTGAGGCCAGAGCAGTAGGCCTGCCCTGAGCATGCTCACCTAGTTAGGCCTCCTGGTAAGACAGGTGATGTAAAGCTTCTCAGTGGGGCTTAGGTGTGAGCTACGTGCTTGGCTGTTCATCGCTGCTTGGACATAGATAGACTCCTGCATGCCCAGCAGCAGGTATTCAGAGACCTAAGGAGCTTTGCTGGTGGAAACTGAGACACTCAGGTTCCTCCAGGGTTAGGCAGCAACTGAGCGGAGGACGGAGGATCTACATGTCTGATGTAGTTTCCCAGGATGTTTAATGGATTTAGCCCTTAGGTCAAGACTCTCAACTCAACTGCTCTTCTGTAGCATCAATCTGCTAAGTACCATATTTTCTCATATATAGCATGCCTTCAAACGTAATCCATGCCTTTGAAAGGGATTACGAAGAATTTCTTCCCCCACCCCCACTCCAGAGTGATGGGTGCAGAGAGCAGGGACAGAGTCTAACCTTCAGCTGATTCACTTTCCCTTTCCTGCTTAGCTAAAATCCTAGCTGCTGTTGAAGACTGGTCTCCACTGGTGGACTTCTGATCTTGAAAACAGCTAAAGAGCTGGGAAATAGGAGAAGAGACTAGAAGCCCTAGCAAATAATAAGATTCCCCTAAGTAAGGTTGGCTTCATTAGTGGAGAGTCAAGACCTTAACACGGAAAGATGGGCTTTAGCCCCTGCGAAGTGAAGAACAATGGGCCATCGACTCAGTGGCCTATTAATAGGCCATTGACTCTTGCCTGCCTAAAGAGTAGCACCGGATCTGCTGCATGTGGAGGAGTCAAAGCAGGGTGCTTCTTTCTTAGGCAAAAAATTCATCTTCCTTGCTTAATACCCACACTCCCATTTGGAGGGAGGCTGATTTTGGGGGAAAAGGTGCATGCTGCATGTGAGCAAATATGGTATCTTTGCAGCTCTTCGCCTTAAACTTGGTGCCACAGATGCACTATTCAGATAATGATACCAAGCTTCCCCCACTGGGTTGTAGGAGGCTTCATTCATTAGTACTTCTAAAGTGCTCTCGGTACCCAGATCCTTTATCGGTGTACATGATTTATTGCTACTTGAGAAATCAAAGTCCCCAGGAGAGCTAAGGAAATGTATGACTTACACATACAAAGCCACAGGGTGCTCTAGTGCTGAGACTTAATTTGTTAGTACCAGGAAGAGTTTTATGACACAGTGCCTACTAGGACCAAAATGGTGCCCCTTACGTGGTGTGGCGTAGCCCTCCTCAGGGAATTAGGGCCTGCAGCTAGGGGTGAATAACCAACTACAACTGGCCATGAAAATGTCTACTTTGGAGGCCCTTTTCTGTGAACCTGCTGCAAAAAGGGAGGCAACACAGTAGGTTTATCTGGTACTGATAGTCAATACCGCCTTGTATAAGTTCTTTAGAAATGAATCCAAAAGCCCATATGACTTAACACACAAGGCAACCTTTTCTGCCCAACTTTAACATCGGTGTCCTACTTGCAAAACTCTATCGGCTGGTTTTCAGACTCCACAAAAAAGCCATTGCTCTGTACAGCCCTAGAGCACTCCTCTGTCATCATGTTAGGCAAATGCTCCTGCTTGCCAGGCTACAAGATGCACTGCAAAAACAACCTTTTCCCCTCCCTGTGCCTTTTAGGCCTCTGCATATCATAGAGCACTAGTGTCTTAATTCTGTTTTAATATCCCCAGCCTGTATCACTGTATTTTCGCATATACCACATGCCCTTACACACTGTCTTACACATGACATGCATACCACAATAAGACATGTACCTTGTTTTGAGGTGGAATGAAGAAAACAAAGGTTTTTCCAGAGCCCACCTGGCCACGGCATGATGGCTGCATGCTCCTGGCCTTGCATGTAAGCTCCACATTTCAGACTTGAACCTTATCACAGTCACTGCCAAATTGGCAGCAGCTTGTGTCTGCTCAGCCAAAAGCTGCTGCCACTCCAAGAGTGGCTACAAAGGTGTCAAAGCTTGAGCAGTGGAGTTTGCAAGGCCAGAGTCAGCAATAAAGTCTGCCCTTCCTTGCCTGCATCCTGGAAAGGGGAGGAAGGGCAGCACAGCCCCCAGCAGCCATTCCAGGGACCAC